TCTATCTCAAGATGATATTCTAATTACTCATGTTGCTTTATTTGTAGACTATGATCCATTGACATATGAAGATGTTGCTAAAAAGGAAAAGTGGCAAAAAGCCATGGTAGAAGATATTGGTTTTATTGAAAGGAACTAGAGACTTTAGAGTTGACAGATCTTTCAAAAGGGTATAAGATAATTGGTGTTATGTGGATCTACAAGACAAAACTCAATGAAAATGGAGAGGTTGACAAATTCAAAGCTCGCTTGGTGGCAAAGGGTTACCAGCAAGAGTTCGGCATTGATTATAAAGAAGTTTTTGCTATAGTTACAAGGATGGACACCATCAAATTGGTGCTTACAGTAGCAACATAGAACTCATGGTTGATTTGCCAGCTTGATGTGAAATTGGCCTTCTTACATGGAGATATGCAAGAACAAGTATTTATTGATCAACCTCCTACTTATGTGAAAAATGGTTTTGAGTATAAGTTTTATAGATTGAAAAAAGTATTATATGGACTAAAACAAGCACCTAGAGCTTGGTATAGTCGAATTGATACTTATTTCTTTAAGGAAGGTTTTCAAAAGTGCCCTTATAAGCATACACTTTGCATTAAATTTGGAGATGAAGGTAAATTGATTATAGTATGCTTATATGTTTATGATTTAATTTATACTAGGAATGATCTTGGCATGTTAGAAAAGTTCAAGCAGTTTATGAACTTGGAATTTGATATGACAGATCTGCATTTGTTGCATTATTTTCTTGGTCTAGAAGTAGTACAGTCAAATGTTGGAATATTTGTTTGTCAAAAAAATGTGTAAGAAGTTTTCGATAGATTTCAAATGAAGAACTACAATTCTGTCACTACATCAGTTGACAAAGGTGTAAAGCTCATGAAAGATCCAAGTGGTAGATCTATGGACAACAAACTGTATAAGCAAATTGTTGGAAGTCTGATGTATTTAATAACAAGACCATTAGTAGGTATATGGAGGATCCAAAGGAGTTGCAATTATAGACTACTAAAAGAATTCTCAAGTATTTACGTGGAACTGCAAATGTTGGACTATTTTACAAGAAGGGTGACCAAACATATTATAGATAGTGATTATGTTGGAGATCTAGATGATAGAAAAAGCACTTTTGAGTATGTTTTCATGTTGGGATCTAGTGCAGTTTCATGATCATCAAAGAAGCAACCTATTGTGACTTTGTCCACAACAAAAGTAGAGTATATGGCAGTGACTTCATATGCTTATCAAGCTATCTGGATGAGAAGAGTTTTGGAAGAACTTGAGATGAATCAACATGAGGCCACTTCAATTTATTGTGACAACAGTTCAGCTATCAAGCTTTCTAAAAATCCAGTTCTACATGGGAAAAGCAAGCATATACATGTGAGTTATCATTACTAGTGGAACTTGATAGAAGATGGAACAATTGAGTTGATTTACTGCAGAATAAAAGATCAAGTAACTGATATATTCACAAAACCCCTCAAATTAGCAACTTTTTCAAGACTGAGAAAGTTACTTGGTGTTTGCAGCATGCATAATTCAATTTGAGGAAGGATTTGTAGATTCTAGATTGCAAACATGGTATTTTCCAGATTTCTCTAAACTAAAGTCTTAAGACTTTCAGTTTAAGGGAGCGATTGGTGAAAAGTGGTTCTTAGTTTTTAGCTATTATCTCTATAATTTAGGAAGTTTAAGTTGTTTACTTGTTATTCCTATTATTTAGGTTGCTGTCGCCTGTCATAGATTAGATTAAGTTGATATCATTTAAATAAGTTGGGATTATTGGTTAGTTATTTTTTTTAGATAAAATTATCTTATAAAAAATATTTAAAGACTAATTTGTTTTCATTTTAACAATAGTTTGATTTTCATTCCATTTTCTTCTTCTTGTGAATCCTTGGTTTCTTAATAGTTGAGGACATGAAATCTGAGTTCTATTGCGATAATAAGTTCAACAGTGCTGGAAATCAATCCTAGACAAGTCCTAGAATGCCTCTTTGGCCCTTTCTAATAATGAACTAATGAAATTATTCTTTTCAAACCACAATTTTGTACCATGAAAGCACTAGGCTGAACAATTTTTCTTAGGACAAGATAAAGACAGGACCACAGGCCCAATCGTTTTGTCAGCTGATCTCCAAAGAAAGAGAAGCTATTAAGAATTAAAAATATATAAGGTAAATAATAAGGAAAGAGTTTTTTTTGTTTCCGGCCCTTAATAGCTATTAATATAATCACAAACCTTTCATTGCTCATCAGGAATCATGGGAAATTAATGAAGATTGAGTTATATAAATTTTACTCGACAACTTGATGAAAATATTAGCAGGCTTAATATCTCTTTGGTTTGTGCAGCCTTAGTTGAAGCATCTGTAATTGTCAGATAGCACACCCCACTGACCAATCAGTTCATGTGGCTCTGGTTCAATGAAGTGGTTCGATTTACCTCGCGTGGCCAACTCAGCTCCCATTTGTGTTGAGACAGCTACATACACTTAAAAATGTGTATTGGTTCCCTGTTTGTACTTGTAAAAAACTCGTGAATAGCATGGGCCACAAACGCGAGGCTAGATTCCGGATAAGTTGACACATTGTCTTTTTTTGTAGATAAATGATTATTTTTGTAAAGAGTTCTCCCTTCTTTTGTATAATTTTGACCAGTTTGTTCATAACTGCATCACTTAATAAAGTTACATATACTGTCTCAAGTTGCTTCTAACTCTATGAGCAGAATGTGCTGATCTTGTTTAATGTCAAGTTCTTGAATCAGCATCAACAAAATTTTTTTGGATTGGAGTTGGTTGATGCTTTGGAAACCCTATCTTCCTTTGCCAGCCTTCTGATATTTCTTCTCTTTCTCTGCATGTGGATTAGTTCTCCCACTAGCATCATAATAAAATACTCCTACATAAACAAACTTCGCCCACCCTGCTGATAAAATCCATAACATGGTTTTTCATAACATGCATGCAATAAAAGTTTATGAAAAAATGATTTCCTGTCTCAATCTATTGGACAAGGGCATGAGAAGAAGAGCCCAGAAACTAGCAGATACTTTTTGATCTTATCATTAGCATTGACTACGGTGCTTTGGTTCGTTTTTAATGTTTTCCTTCTTGGGTTTCCACTCAGGCTCATTAATGTTTGCTAATCTCGACAGAAAGATTCTTCTTCCTCTTCATTTGAAGAAACTTCTCCTCTAAATTATGCACTCATAGAGAAATGGGCATCTTCTAATTCGTCATTTTCTGAATATTAGATTTAATTACAGTGCACTCAATCAGAGGACAGCCATTGAAGTTTGCAGAACTCGTTCGTTTTTGGGTTAAACAACACAATTAAATGTATGCTTGAGCTTTCTTAATTCAACAATAAGCATGTCTGTCAATATGCATTGAAAACTGAAAGCTTGTTTCCTCTCGAGAACAAGGCTGTTCATTTTCATTGGTTTGTTAACATGTATTTTTTTCTGGTTTTATCGATATAGGTTCATGGAAACTCGATTTCTTTTTCTGTTAAATGTTTGATTCTGCCAAATTAGAAACTTCCCCAGGCATAAAAATTATGCTGCAAAGCATACACAGTAAACAGTGTAAGAATAGTAAGTTTACAGTAATAATGTCCGAATAAATTAGGGACACAAATGAATTGTTGAATAGGAGAATCAAAAGTAAATATCATAATTATAAACTTAAACTATAGTAACTATATCATTTTGTATTCATGGTAAAAATTGAAAGTCGTTTTCTTTTTTTTTTTCTGAAAATAGGTAATTAAAGTCGTTTTCTTAATGTAATGCAATTTGTGATTTTCCAGAATTTTCCCATTACCCTATCCCAAGAAAAAGCAAAAGAAAAGAAGGCTCTTTTAAGGCAAGTATCGACAAAAAGGGACCTTTTAGGGTTGAAAATCTAGTCATTTATGCCCACCAACAACTAGTCATTTCATTTCAAAACATTGTTTCTTTCTCTTTGACCTTCAACTTTCAGCCCTTTTGAGGCTGCCTTTCCTTTTGCAAGTGCTGCTAAAGTTTTGCCTTTCTTCTAGGCTCAACACCCACGTATGTTTCTCAGCAGCCAACCCCTCATGTTACTTTCGTTTCCCACGCCGTGATTAGCAAAGTCATCCCAATCAAAAAAATCATTTGCTCTCGTGCTCTAGTTTCTCTCATACCCATTTCGTGAATTTCGATGTTTCTTTCATTGCGTGGATAGATCATGGGATTTCAATGAAATTTAAATTAGAGTGGTCCTGATTTTCAGTTTCTATTATAATAATTCATGTTGGCATCTATGCAGGAGATTGGCATCACAAGGACTAAATGAAATCGTACATTAGTTCAAAAATTGCATGCAGAGACCCATGAACAGGTGCCATCTATATAAGAAAGCAGTAATCGCCTCTTTGTTTCTTGTCCCTTTCTACCTTTTTGAACACTCTGGGGTTTCACTTTTGTGCACCATCCTCAATCAAGACCACAAACAAACCCCATTTACTTCTTTTAATGCAATACAGAAAGCCCACCATTGCTAAAGCTTCAAAGGTGGTATAGCTTTCTAAGACAAGGGACTAGTCAAAAAAATGGACGCCCTTTAAGGCCAACTAATATTATCACTTCTACCTAAGCATGACATCTTTCTACTGTTTCTGTTAGTATTCTTTCCTACCTGCATGATAGAGAATGATCTTTAGCATATATTAAATTAGATACAGCTAAGAACCCATTTGGGTTCGGCTTTTGAAAAACCTTGTCTTTGTGAATAGTCTCATTCCATCATCAGTGGGTTTTTAGTGTACCCCCCTTATAAGCAGTGCACATTCTGTGTGACAATTAATGCGGATTTTGGTCGTTTCCTTTCTCCTCTGTTTTTTTATGTTACGTAGCTGTAGCTTGTCAATGTCTGATGGATGGTAAGATTTGCTGCATTTAATGCCATTTCAGTGAATTTTTCAACAGTTGGGTATAAACCCGTTTGTGGTACCACTTCCATACTGTGTCTAGCCTATGCCTGTACCCAATTGGCGGGGTTCTAATTTCAAGTCATTCAATTCAAGTTTATGGAAATAAGAGTTTCAAAACACGAGCCTTCTAAAAGGTAGCTATCTGTGTTCTCTATATCAGTGTTTCATTTAAAACTTCTGGGTTCTTTCCTTTTGTTCATTCTTATTCTTATCCTTTGTAATCTGTACTACTTCAACTTCCTGCTTGTTTAAACTTGAAATCATGTTGTTGGGATGGGTGGTGGGTTTAGTTTCAGTTTCTGTGTACGCTTCACTTAGAGCCAATAAAAGTTGTTGGATTACAATTTGCAAATCCTATCAGGTGTTAGATGATTTGCCTCTTTTACTCTCTTATTGTACCCATGGGAGCAAATTTTATTTTCTGCACTCTTAAGTCTGAACTGGGTTTTGTTAGGAATGGAAAGCATTTGCTTTGTCTAATTTCTAAAAAGCTCTGAAGTTCATACAACCTTGGAAGAGATTTTTTTACATTCCATTGTTTTTTCTCTACTACTTATTTAGTGACTACTAAATGTAAAAATGATTTGATTCTAGTTTCACATGTTTTTCCATTGTGATGTTTTGCTGTTCTTTTGCTGATAGTGACCCATTTCAAGAGAAAGCTGAGAAGGATTGGTTAAATACTAACGTCTTTGAAGCTTCTTATTGACTTAAGTCGGTAAGAATTCCATTATATTGCTTATCTCTGTCGTTGTGCTCTCATTTCTATTTCTGAAAGTGTAACCTGGACTGCAGAAAACAAAATCAGAATGCCATTTTATTTCCACTCTCTGATTATTGTCTTCTTTCTTCTTAATATCTACAGAAGGAAATGGGACAGCAGAATGGCCATGATAAAGAAAGGAACAGCCAAGCCTCAAACTACCAAGTTAAGGATACTTTAAAGCAGGAGGTAAAACTCTCAGCCTTTTCAACTATTGCCCTTTTGGGGCTATCTTTTATTCAAAAAGCATGTACAGGCTTTCTATATTGGTTTCTCATCTTTATCTCTGAAACTTTTTGCACCTTGAGCTGTACAATACATGTGGATCAAAGTTAAGAAATGAACATGTGAAGCAAAATTATCACTATCCTATATTGGAAGTAGTATATGGAAGTTTTCTTGGTATAGAGAGATGCACTCTGCCAATTAACACATCTATATTAGAGATTTGAAACAGTTATCCTGAGAACTTCAAATATGACATGGTATATGTTAATTGAGCACTCACTCCATGTAAGTTGATATCTCTATTTTCTTTCCACGGCAGATTTCTCACCTTCAAGAACAATTGCATGATCAATTTGTGATACGGCGTGCATTAGAGAAGGCACTGAGTTTCAGGCCCCTTTCCTATGATATTGCAGTTGAAAAATCAATCCCCAAGGTGGCCTTCTTTTTTTTAGTGTACTAAAAAAAATTTCAGTGCCGGAATTCTTAGCAGTCTTATTAACAGAAAATTGAAGCTGCAGTATTGTATACACAGAACTCCCTTGTGCTGTGCCTTCTTAATTCATTTATGTAGTAAGAACATCTTCCTCATATTCAAGTAAAAAACACTTAAGAGTGGAATAATGAAAACAAAATAAGAAGTTTAAAATTTGAAACTAAAATTTGGATATTTTTAGTGGACTGGAAGTGGAGAACAAAAATTTGGGTTAGTAACTGAGTTGACTATTGAAGCTTATACCAGACATTTTGTTTACAAATATCTGGATCTTATTATATTCAATTATTTCCATGATATTAGATTATTTGGTACCGTTAACCAATATACTTCATTTAATTCAGGCTGCCAAGGAACTTATCAAGGAAATTTCAGTTTTAGAATTGGAAGTTGTCTACTTGGAAAAGTATCTTCTATCATTGTACCGGAAAACTCTTGATCCAAGAATCTCATCCCTGTCAACCATGGAAGAAATACCGAAATCCACTTCTCCAGAGCATAAAGGGATGGTTTCAGAGGTTCCTGGGCAAGATATTACATCAGAGAAAGAAAATTCATCTATCCTATCTAGTGGTCTTATGTCCTCTTCAACTGGGCACTCTTTTAGAGAATATGATGACATTTCAGGGTCTCGAAAACTGTTGGATTTTGGCATTCATCGAAGTCACTCATCACTCTCCCATCATTCAGCACGTGCTGTAAGAAAAGCTACAGACTCTTTTCATTCCCTGCCTTTGTCAATGGTGAGGGTAAATTGATTGCTTAGAATCAACAATATTTTAAGAGATTGGTGATAATTTAATAGAGTACACTGTAATTCAAGTAATCTGGTATTAGTCTGCAAATTTTTACATGGTTGGCCTAAAAGCAATAACAAGCCTCTCTGATACATGGATACTGTTTTTGATGTTTCCTCTTCAGCAAGCTGATATGGATGCTTCAAATGAGCATTTTGAAACCAGCATTCCAGATCGTGTTATGGGAATGCCAAACTCCCTTTCTGAGGAGATGATCAAGTGCATTTCAGCCATTTATTGTGAACTTGCAGATCCTCCTTTGATCAACCATGATTACTTGTCCTCTCCTATTTCCTACTCATCAGATTTAATTTCTTCTCAAGGCCAAGGAGATATAGGAAGCCAAGAGAGTGGGAGATTTTCATCCTTTAACTCACATTGTGATAATTCTTTCAGCATTGTGAAGTCCATGGAATTGGGTGGACCTTACTGCACAATGGCAAAGGTACAGTGGATTTGCCAAGATAGTAAGAAGCTAAGAAATATTGAACATAAGGTGCAACATTACAAGTAAGTAGTTTCTCACTTCTGACATTTCTTTAAATTTGATGTCGTGCCATACATTTCTGTTTGCCATGGCCTTTTCTTTCTTATATGCTTGTATCTGCTTGCAAAGCCAAACAAGGGGATTTGTTTCCAGAAATGATACTAAACTTGTTAAACTAATATCAACCTGTCCTTGCTTCTGATAAACAGCTTTAATAAGCATGATTTAATAATTGATTTAAATGTTGGGGCTTGTTAACTTAATGCTGTTAGTATAAAAAAGATTGACTTAATGCTCTTTGGAGTTACAGGTCACTTGTTTATCAGTTAGAAGAAGTTGATGTTAGAAGGATGGAAAATGAGGAGAAGCTAGCATTCTGGATTAATGTGCATAATTCTCTGGTGATGCATGTAATATTTCTAAACACATGGAGTCATTATTTGTTCTAGTGTAATTTTGTGGCCATATGCCTCTTAACGGTTGCAATCTATTTGCTGCTTGTTGTCTTACAGGCATTTTTGGTTCATGGGGTTCCTAAAAACAATCTGAAAAGGGTATCCTTATTACTAAAGGTGAGCAGAGCTTCTCTGGTTATTTTAGCAGTGGAAGATGGAACTGGATTTTGTATTGACATGCCTATGGATGATCCAGGCTGCATATAACGTAGGGGGTCAAATCATAAACATAGACATGATACAGAGTTCTATTCTAGGATGTCGATTGCCTCGTCCAGGACAGGTAAGTTAAAATATTGGTTCTTCCAACTGAAGCAAATTTTCCATTCCAAATGCCTCAATCCATGGTTATGAGTCACAAGATTTAATTTCTTGTTTGTCTTGGAATTGATTGAACTTGCATCTCCTTGTAGTGGCTGCGTTTTTTGTTTCCTTCAAAGACAAAAGTTAAGGTTGGAGATCCACGAAAAGCTTATGCAATTGAGCAGCCAGAACCTCTTTTATATTTTGCACTTTGTTCAGGAAGTTTCTCTGATCCTGCGGTATGTGCTTACCCTCAGTTAAGCTTTCTGCTGTAATGCGGCAAAATACTGCAACTATTCCTGGTAAAGAATTGGTTGTCTTGGTCATACAAGTCATCATGTTTATAATTTTCTCTAGGTCCGTATGTACACATCAGAGAAAGTGTTCCAGCAACTAGAAGTTGCAAAAGAAGACTACATCCAGTCAAATTTCAGTTTCAACAAGGAAAAGAAAATATTGATGCCAAAGATCATGGAGTATTTTGCAAAGGATTCAGATATTTGTCAAGCTGTTTTGGTCCAGATGGTCGAAGAGTTTATGCCTCAATCTTTAAGGAAGAACATTCAGCAATCTTGTCACAGAAAACGTGGGAAAAGCATTGAGTGGATACCTCACAACTTTGCCTTCCAATATCTGCTTTCAAGAGATCTAGTCGGTGATCTTTTGCTGTATTAGACAGTGATACCCAAGATCTATTATGCATTTTACAAGTATGTTTTCGTGGGTGAATGACAGATGAATCATAACTGAAACAGGGTTACTCCTGGTGCTGCCAATGTCAATGAAGACACTCATCAAGATACAAGCTGGAGTAGGGCTGACTCAAGAAGGCAAGGAATTCGGGTTGGTTGTGCTTGATCCTGTTTGTTCATCAGCCTTCTTATGATGACAAGATGTTGTGATTCGGCTGTCATTCCTAATTATGTTCAGCTTTCCCTGTAACAAGTACCTGAGAGAATCAAGGGAAGAGATGTGTCATAGAATGCCTGCACCATACCATCTGTACAATGTCATGTTTATTTTGCTCCTGAATTGTGATGAAAAAACTGTCTTGTTTATTTTTAACATTACCTAGATTGTCATTTTTCCATCTATATTTCTATTAACATGTTTTTTTTTTTTTTTTTTTGATACATCAAAAGGTTGCTACATCAAAAGGTTTGTTTTGTAAGTTAATAGATATTAATTTAACTAAATTCTTGTGGTGTATGTACTAAAATATAGGCTCTATTTACTAACTTAAGAAAAATACCCGGTTTAGACCGGTTTCATATTCAGGCTTTGCTTCTGACAGCGCCAACCAATAATCGGCCATGTCCCGTGCACCTTATGAGCCACAGATATCCCCTGGTTGGAGCATTTTCCCTAGACTTAAATTTATAAAAAAAAAGAAAAAAAGAAAAAAAAGAGAGATATTGTCATTTTTCAATAAAGCAAATTCATAAGAGAAAAGAGAAATTGGCATTTAATCAGTTTTCTGCATTATAAAGGCATTTTTGAAATTTTGTTTCACCACTTGTCTCTCATTTTTTGAATTTTTCTGAAATTAATTTTATTAAATGAAACTGAAATAAAATAAAATAATAAATAAACTCACAAAATAGGCCAAAATAGAGAAAGGAGAAAGCGTGGAGGAAAATGGAAGATGAGGGCGTAGGGTTAGTGTTAGCAAGAGCCACAGAGCTGAGGCTGAAAATTAGCCATTGCATCGAGAAAGCTACTGCCGGCAACACCCCGTCTTCTACTGACGGAACCCCAGAAGGACGACAGCAGCAGGAAGAAGGCGATGGAGAGTCAAGAAAGAAAGATGGTGTCTTTGATGCGGAGAAGAACCCTAAACCCGATTTTTCTGGGAGTCTAGGTGATGTGGACGAAGAAGATGACGATGGAGAAACACCGAGGCTCTTGAATATCCGTGATGCCCTTGAATCCCTGGAATCCCAGCTCGTTGCTTTGCAGGTTTGCTGAAGCAAAAATGTTCTCTTTTTCTTCTTTCTTTTTGGGTTTCTTAAAAATTGTGGCTTTATGCTCAAAACTCATGAAGATGCTATATTTGCTGGGACAGTTTTACCATGATTTATGAGGATTTCTGCATCATATTTTGCTATTTGCTGTTAATGTTAAGAAAGGATAAAAGAGGTGGTTGCTTAATTGTTTTAGCTTTTCTTTAAGATGAATACATACATATTAACGTAGATTAGAAGAGTGTAAAATGTGTTAGCAATGCTTGGTATGAAAAGACGTTGCCAAATAACCACTTTATTTCAGCGCTTCCTTGTAGAGGTGTTCAGGATGTTCATAGATGTCTTTGGCAGCGGCATTGATGTGGAAATAATGTAAAAAGTTGTGTAAATTTTAGTTTTACAAGATTTGAAGTCTTTCTGATTCATTGAGCTCCGACCCTGGATTTGTGAATTGGCCTTTTGTCAGATTCTCAATGTAGGCAGCGTATCAATTATAGGGAGTTGAAAGTTTTCAAGACTAGGAGGTGAGAGGTTAATAGTTTATGCATCTATTTGCAGGATAGGACCAAAGTGAATCATTAAGATGTAGTTCAAGGCGGTTTTATTGTTTGTCCTTTCTATTCTTTTGGGTAGATTAGCCTGTTTACTACGTCAATTAAATGAACTGTTGCGTTATACCCCTGTGAGTATATTTACTAGAGAGGTAGGATAAATATATTTGATATCATTCTTACTAAAGCTTTGAGTGTAAAAGGTAACTTGAGAGCTCATTCCCAGGAAAAACAATTATAGTACTATGTTTTTGAGTTCTTATGGTTTGGATTCTTTATATGTTTTCTTTTGGTTGCCAGAATCTACAACAACAGCAATGCTATGAGAGGGAAGTTGCCCTGGCTGAGATTGATTATAGCCGCAAAATATTACTAGAGAAGCTTAAGGACTACGATGGGAAGGACTTGGAAGTGATACACGAGGCTTCTGCTTTTGCCGGTGAAACAGTAGAGAACAACAGTAATCTCCTTCTTCCTCCATATCCAAGTCGGCCCCCTCGGCCCTTGGTTTTGGATAGTGACTATTTGTCACACTTAAAGTCAACAAGCAAGTCAGCACCAAATGGGGTTAACACTAATGGTTCAACAAATGAAACTAAGAAGCATGGCAACAGATATGAGAGAAATGAAAAACAAACTGAATCCAACAACTCAAGGAAAGGTTTAGGAAGCTTACTTATTACAGCTTTCAAGACAGTGCTTCCCCTTGTTGCTGTGATATATGCGCTGAGTTCATCTAACATCACGCCAAACTTTGGCAAAAAAATCGCACCACTCAAGTCAGCTGAAGAAAAGAAAGCAACTATTAGATGTCCACCTGGAAAAGTCCTGGTGATGGAGGGTGGAGAAGCTCGATGCCTCGTTAAAGAGAGAGTTGAAGTTCCATTCGAGTCAATTATTGCGAAGCCAGATGTAAATTATGGGTGTGGTTAATTTCAATTTGTTCTTCCTTGGTTATATACAACTCTTGCCGTGAGTCTACCTCTGCAGTGAATTCTTTCTTTCAGAAATTTTGTATGATGACCTTTATCTACCTCCAAAGATAATCTTTTTTAAGTTCCACAGTGACCCTTGACGTCACTCAGGTTGTCAGGATTCAGGATATCACGGAAGGTAAAAACTAAAAACTTATTTTTAATTTTTTACTTTATTAGGTTTTGAAAATCTTAATTTTTTATTTTATATTAT